ACAGAGTTTTATAGAAAAAAGGCTTACTGAAAGAAGGTTATAATAAAATGGAATTGGGATAATTAAATTTTGGAAGACGATTCATTCTGGGAAATCCGTTGAGTGACATTCCTGTAAGTACATATATGACGATTCCAATAGAGACTAATGTTTATTTTATGAATTATTGCCATAGAGCATTTAGAATTCGTTTTTGGCCAACTTTATTTGGCAATTTCTTGTTGTTTTGCTATTGCAATGCGGCGCCTTAATTAAAAAGCTGCAGGCCGCTTTACAGCGGGCTCGGTGCAGTTGGATCAATGGGTCCTGAAAGAGTTAACAACGGACATTGGGCGGGGCAGTAGGGCCGTACGGCTGCGGCTGGTGCGAAACAGCGGCAGTACTTGTATTTATGACTTGGCACGCAGCGCAGGCATGATTTACAGTTTATTGAGAGAAACAAAGCGAGCGCCAAGAATTAGCCGCAATGGCTCATCAATCACTTGATGGGAGGGAGCAGGCAGTACCCAGAGAGGGAGAGCGAGAGAGAGAGTGAGACAACGCGCAAGAGGGAGAGAGACGCCTGCCAGAACGAGGTCCACCTTTTTAGCTGTAATCCTTTTGGGGCACTTATGACTCGACTCGACTCGAATCGACTCGGCTCGGCTTTATGGCCATATTATGCTTAATAAAGCTGCCTCTCAATTTTTTTGCTCTTCCTCTTCGTTTTTATCTGTGTATCAGAGTTTTATCTGCGAGTCGCGTCATAATGGAGCACAGCCATTGAGCAGGCGCTTTGCTCCTGGAGCTGCGAGCGCGTGATTTATGTGATTACTTCAATGCGGCGGCGTTGCGCCAAAAAAAAATCACACACACACAGCATATATTTATATATGTATATCTATAGAAATGTATATAGGAAAAAATGGAGAAAAATCAAACAAACAGCCAAGCAAGAAACGAGCGCTACTAGATACATAAATGTATACCACGCATAGAGAGCGGGCCAAAATTTAAGTACGTAATAATAAACTGAGCCCATAAAATGGACATTGACTGCAAACATTTTGCGGCTGCAAAATTGTCGTCTGTCGTCAGCAGGCCAGCAAATAAACACATATATATATTGTATAAACATATACATATATGTGTAGCTGTGTGTTTACTTCCTATTTATATGCATCAATTTATTTTTGTTGCTTTATTTTATTACAATTAACACTTGCCAACAGGCAAGTAGCATTCCCCACTCCCCACTCACTCACTTGCTCTCTGTCACTCTCAGTCTCTGTCTCCCTCCCTCTCTCTATCTCTTTCTTACACTTTACCAATCGATCGATCTACTTTCAAGTTATTCTAACTTGAGCTTTATTTGTCATCTGACTTCTAGGGATTACTTTTTGGATGCATACATATCGGCACTTATTTACAGCTTCGATCTGCCTTAAAAACTGTTTTTTGATTGACTTTATTTAATTTTTTTAGTTTCCAATTTCAAAAGGCAAGCCTATTTTGATACTGATTTTACCTTTCATTTATTTATTTTTTTTTTTTTTTTTAATATACTTAGTTTTGAATTGTGGAGAACTAGATCATAGTAGCAGTTGATCTATGAATTGAAATGAAATTGTAAAATCGAGACAATTTCATGATTCCATTATATTTAAAACAACAAAGATCTCCACACGTTTCTTACATTCTCGTTATCATTGCCTTTCACACTCTAAGTTACTTATTCCCTCTCTCTCTATTATCATTTCTCTTCTAATCTCTCTCGCTCTCTATTTTTTTTTTTTTTTTTTTTTTTTTTTTTTGTGTCATCAGGAGATAGGAATCCACCTCTCTGATTTTCTCTCCTTGCCTTTGTATGTAAATTTTCTGGAGATAAATATTTCTCTCTCCCCCTGTCTTAACTCAACTTTCAAACCAATATTCGCTCTCCCTCTCTCTCTATCCGTATATCTTCGTCTTTCTCCTCTTTTCTCAACGGCTCGCTTTTTGTTTGTCTTTTACTCTACTTTTCCATCTCTAGATAATTTTCAATGTTTCACAAATAGCAATATTCTGAGCATATTTTTCAACTATTTCTCTACATTATTATTTCCAATCAATGTTATTTAATCAATGCCTTGACTGATAGCTCATCAAATAGGCAGTTTGACAGATTTCCCATGCAGACACACACATACCCTTACCTCACACATTCTGTAGTGTATTAAATGCCAGTTGGTTGCATATAGTTGAATGTTTATAATATGCACACAATATGCTGCCATTATGTTTGCATGATCTGTCAATCTAGCCAATTGCCAAGGTACGCCCCGCTGACTTAAAATACAAAAATAAAAAAACGAAAACAGATGGAAAATGGAGAAAAGCAAAGGAGAGGCAAAAGAAAAAGCAAGAGTAAAGTGCCGCTATCTATTTATATCGCTTTTGGCTTTTGCCAGGCAGCAAAAAAGAAACGCTGAAAACTACTAACGAACGACACCTGGAGGCGCCGCCAGCTGCGACAGCCGCACCTGGCTTGGGCTACTAGCGTGTGCCGCCTTTTTCGCTGCTTGTTGTTTTTGTTGTTTGCATTGCATTTGTTGTCCATTTTTATTTTTTATTTTTTTTCTTCTTTGGCTTTTGTACCTGTTTTTTGCTCAGCGTGGCGATACATATACCGAAAATTTTGCTGCTGCTGCTGCTGCTGCTGCTGCTGCTGTGGCACGAATGTTGTAAATCAAAAGTAGGCGAGTCACACGAAGGCTTCTCCAGCTCCCTCTCGAGCTGTAGCGCCTATTTGACTGGCAGCCCGAGCGGATAACGCTGGCAATTATCGCGCTTGTGTTGCACGAACAGCGGAAGCGGCAGAGGCGCCATCATGTTACCCTTACCCACTCTAACCCTTACTCATCTGCCCCTGCCCAGCGCAGCCCTCACCCAAAAAAAAACAAAAAAAACAAAAAGAAATTGAAACCAAGCGAGCGAACGAGCCTAGTATTGCCTTTTATTTGCTGCCATCTTTTTGTACAATGAAATTGTTAACAACAAAAAATAGAAATAAGTAAGTGCAGTCATCTTCATAAAGTCAGCGCTCAAATACTCTCAGCAATAATGTATTTACGATATCACAATCTTTTCTATAAAGCAGACAATTCAATGAGTTTAAAGTACCTTTCTGTCGAAACATTTTCATAAAACTTGCATTAGAGATATGCAATACAAAGATGAGTATTCCATACAGCTGTAATATTTTGAAGTATTATTTTCATTTTAGATATATCACTATTTATAAATTATACATCGTCTCACATTAGCTTTAATGTTCAGCTTGTATATAAATTTATTTGTTTGACTTATTGCCAAAAATAAAATAGAATTTAACTTTCATAGATTATTTATTAATTTCTAGATATATTTCTAGATGTTCAATATCATTCTTTATATTATTCCTTTAATAGGAACTCTAGATCAAGTTGTCTCAAAGATAACCAAAACTTCAAGCAATGCACTGTCGTTACATCTTAAGTCACATATTTATGATGCCTTTTTACCTAGGCGTCGCTCCTGTGTCCCAAAATATGCCCCAAAAACAGTGAGATCCCGCCCTAGCTCCTACTCCTACCCCTTGGCCCTTTCCTTCACCCATACTGCATCTAGGCAGTCAGTCAGTCAGTCATTGAAGTCATTTATTGCCACCAATGTTGCACGTTGTTTTTTCCGAACAACTGTACTAAGTTTTGTGCCGCGTTTTTCTTCAGCGAGTGTGTGTGCGTCGTGTGTGTCTCTGTGTGTGTCTCTGTGTGTGTGTGTGTTGATAGCGGCTGGCCGAGAGTTCTGACCGTTTCGTGTGCAGGATGTGTTTGCAATTTGTGGACACGCCGACCGTCATTTGATTGCTATTGTTGTTGTTTATTTGCTGTTGGTGTTGTCGCCACAGCCATTGTCGATTTTCTCTGTATTTTATATATTATATTGTTGTGTATTTGGGGCTACATACATATAAATTTTTTTAATTATATATAAAAAAGCTTTTGAATTAACAATTGTTTTTTGTAGCGAAATGAAGTGGTTGCCAATTTAAGATTGCCCTATGTGCACAAAATAAAGAGGGAAGAGGAGAGGAAGAGAGATGGGGTGAGATTGTTTCCAATAGTTTTTAGCCATATTCTATTAGACAGCCAGCCGGCCGCCCCGTTGATAAGCCAATTGTTTGTTTTCTTAGYGCCACGCGATAGTTAACGTGCTGCCCCTTTGCTATTTCCTTTTTTATTTTATTTGTTTTTTTTTTTTTTTTTAATATCATGACATCCATAAAAAGTTCGAACGCAAACATGCCAACAAATCCACACACACACACACACATGTAAGCACATATGTGGGCCAATTTTCCCACTGACGTTTGAGGCGCGAGGTCTCATGAGACAATCAAAATTAAACGACTTTCGGCGATGACATGCAAGACACCAAAAGTAAAATAATAAAATGAAAAGGCTAAATCTTAACAAAATGTTTCGAAAAACTTCCCAAAGCAGAGACATTTACCTTTAGCCAAGATTAGAACCCGTGCAGCGTTGCCAGACTGTACAGATTGCGAGCGTTAATATTTAGTAACATAACGGAGAATTGGCACACGTTAAATTACTGCACCAATCCAATGTACAATTTTCCGGAAATATAATATAAACTGCATTTCACTACAGTAATAAGATATAATTCAAACTATTCAACTGATTCAATTTACATGCATGCACATATTGAAATACAATTTCTGGACAGCTCAAACAATTTATTAATTGTTAATTACTTTGAAAAACGTATTAAAAATATATAGTCGATTTGTAGTCTCATTAACATATTTTATGTTTCTTTTTTTCATAACAAATTTTGTGTGAACTTTCCGCCAAATACTATACTAAATGCGCTAATAATTAATAGATACGGCTCGAAAGCCTGAACAGATGGTGTAGCCCTTAACAAATTAAATACAAAATTGTGTAGCCCTGGTAAATGAAACAGCTGGCAGCTGCTCAAGACAAACCACACGCGCTACTGTGTAAACTCTTTGTAAACATAAAAATGGAATGTGTTAGTTGTGCGACTGCAACAAACAAATACAAATGCAGCAAATGCTTAGCACCCTAGTAAGTAATACTTATTAATTTAAAAGTTTAACTATTAATAACTGCCCATACAGCTGTTCAGTTAATTGCTACAAAGCACACAAAGAATCGCCAGAATGTGCGGAGAGGACAGCAGCCATACAGGCTACGCAGAAGCCTAAAAATAACGAGGAAGAGGAGCCCACAATATATCCACCTTTTAGCACAGACGATACTGTACCCAAGAATCTACTAGAGAAACTAGGTAGCTTGTATATTATATGGTTTAAGTATTATCATTATAATCATGTCTTCACTTGTAGAACATTCGGAACCATTGCGACAGCTGCTACGTAATCCTCATTTGTGTGCTTTACTCAAAGAAATCGATGTGGCGCATAATGCAAATCTTGCCATGACAGCTGCCATGCAGGAACCGCTCTTCGTGGAATTCGCCAATGCCTGTTTAGAGGTGGTAGAACCCATGACAGAGGCAGAAAAAGAAGACCTAAGATTATGCAGCTAGTATCTAAATATTTGCTCGAAATTAATGATTATTAAAAATATATTGAAATAATTTTAATATGAACTTAAGGAGTTAATTAAATGTATATTTTATATAAATCTATGGTTTGGCATTATCGCCCGTTCGGCGGATTTTGGCCCAGTTGTCATCATCATCAAAAAGGTCATCGAAATCATTGTAGAAATCAGCATGCACGTGTTTGTCGTTTGTGGGTGCTGGTAAATGATCCATCATCATGCCTGTGGCGCTGCCCGACTGGATTATAAAACAAACAAGGAAAGCACAAACGGAATACAGTTTCTTTTTTTTTCTAGCTCGTATACAATTGATTTAGCTCACCTCCTCCATGTCCATATAACCAGCTCCCTCTGAGAACATCTCATCAACTGCCAATGATGGTTTCATATTTAAGTCCATTAACTTTTAAACTATATTTTTGTTTGTGTTTCTTTCAAAAGTATTTTTCGCTTCAATTGTGTATGCTTGTGGGGAAATCAGCGTTGCCAGCTTGTTATCAGAGCTGTCAAATTTACTAATAAGTCCGGCAGCACCTGTGATAGCAGCTGTTCTGTGTCCGTTCTGTGTCGGTTTTTATTTAGCAAAATGGTTCGCGTTGGATTGCAAATCTCTGCTACTCTCGAAAATATTGAAAAACTCGAAACACATTCTGATTATGCGTATTTCTTTAAACTAACCTGCAGTAATTGCGGTGAGACATCAGAAAAATGGCATGATATTACGGAGTCGGAGCGTACACAGCAAGATTCGCGCAATACTGCAGGTTTCAATTTCTTTATGAAATGCAAAATGTGCGCAAGGGAAAATAGCATTGACATCGTAGAAAAATCGAATGGTAAGCAGAGAATCCAATTCGAAAATATATACTTAACTGTCTTTCTCCTTATTAGTGCCTTATACCGCTGACGATGCAGGAAAATTCAAGACAATTGCAATTTTTGATTGTCGCGGCGTTGAGCCGGTTGAATTTTCTCCTCGAACCGGCTGGAAGGTTCTATCAGCAGACAATGGACAAGCCTTTGAAGACGTGGATCTATCCGAAGATGATTGGGTCGAGTACGATCAAAAAAATAAGAACTCAGTGGGCATTTACGAGTTTGCCTCTAAATTCGTCAAGCTAAAGAAATGAAAGACAATTTCAATAGAGCATTTGATAAATATAATATATATATATATGACTATACAACTATAGTATACACATACATATATATATTCCCTTCAATGATATTTGTAGAATAGTTGTACATACATACATTAAAAAATAGAGCTATGCTAGTTATTTAGCTAGATATCAAGGAATAAACACAACGCCACTATTAGAGATAAAGATTACCCTTAAGAATATAAATTAAATTAATGAATGCGTCAGTTAGATTACAATTTGTTTTAAGATTAAATCAAACAGAGAGCAATTGGTAACTGAGACGTGTTAAGAGCTACAAATTTAAATTCACGAATTCATGTTCTAGTTTTCTTAGAGGCACTTGTCCGCCACAATGGGAAAGCGAACAACGCGTATCTCGTTGCCATAGTCACAGACCACGGAGTCACAGGCGAGCATCATAAACTTTGGACACATCTGCAGGTTGGCAAAGTCTAGCTTAACCTCACGCGCCGGCTGACCCGTGCGCACATCCCACACAATGAGAGACCCTAAAAGAGGATTCAACAATTAGTATATTAAACAATACATATATAATATTATAATAAGCTTACCCATCTTGCTGGTGACCAGCAACGAGGGCGTCAGCATCAACAAGCTCGAATAAGCATTCGAGATTTTGATGGTCGTCAGCAAATTGCCCTGAAAGCGTTCCCAAACACAAATCCGCTCATCAGTGCCCAGCGAAATCACATAGCTGGGCGCACAGGCGAGGCAACTGACGGCTCCATCATGAGCCTGTATATTGTACATGCAGGCGCCCGTGAATAGGTCCCACACACAGAGCAGGCCATCCTGTGAGCCCGAGCCCCCCGTGCCGGGCTGCCAGCGATCAACAAAGAGGCAGGTCACAGGACCGCAATGTCCATGCAGTGTATACTCCATATCCGATTTGTTCAGGCAATACACCTGCAATCAACAATTACTTATAAGTATAGATCACCCTTAATTTTGTGTCATTGAACTCACCTTTAGTGTATGATCCTGACTGCCCGTGAAGACCATGTCGTTGACAACCTGCATGCATGTAATTGGTTGCTGGTGTGCCAAGCGCACGCCCTCTAAGGTAATTTTCATTTCTTCCTTGGTGGTCTTCTGCGCTGCATCCTGCTGATGCTGCTGTTGGTGCATCATCAGTCCGATGCTGCCCGTAGAGCCAGTGCGCACATGTGCTTTAACGAGAGATAAGGTACGATTTATATATTGAATTGTATTACGCGCTCAGCGATTGACGCTGATAAGGAAATAATACAACTATATACAATATGCGCAAATGATGAGTTTAAAAATAACAAACACGAATTGTATATGGTATAGAGGGTAATGAAAGGATACATAGAATAAAGGCGGCATACAACTTGTAACAGCTTTTAAACTGTTACGATTCTCTCTCTGTAACAACAGTTTAACGGTTTAGGTTTTGATTTACAGCGGCTAAAACGTTACAATTGAATTGTTATTTAACAGAAGGGTATTGATATATTGTATTAGTTCATAGATCTGTTAAACGCATTATTCGTTCATTGAATAAGCGGAACATAACAGCGCTCTAATAGACAAACATTAACTGCAATAAGCACAGCTTTAGATTTGATGATTTAAATAAATTTTGGTAAAGCGAATATTTTAAGACTTTATACTTACTGCGTCTGTAGGCGGAAGTAAATCCCCAATCGATCTGTTTGCCCTTATAGTATGTTTCCAGGCGATAGAAATCCAGACGTCCATTCAGACGTGCCACGATAACACGATCCCCATTCAAATGGATGTGCGTAATACCCTGATTACGCTTCGCATCCTCTTGATAGGCGCATTTCAGCACACCGGCTGGCACCTCCCACAGCTCGACCCGCCCATTGGCACAGCCGACGGCAATGAGATTATCAAAATAGTCCAAGCACCAGACGGGCGACGTGGGCAGCTTGCGCAGCAGGGTCTGCCCATCCTGTCGCGGATGCGCGATCTGCATATCGCTGCGCGCAATGCTAGCCAGCTGCTGGCCAGTTCGTCCATCCCATACCCGAATTTGACCCTTCAAGCAGCAGCTGATGATGTAGTTGCCGTCACAGGCCAAACACTCGATGCGATGCTTGTGGCCAGCGATTTGTGTGGGCACACCCTCCAGAATGTGTTCGGTCTCCTTGTAGGGCACCTCCGACTCGTGCCAGCTGGAGCGCCACTCAGCATAGTTGCGCGTGCATATGCAGCGATAGAACACGACCATTGTGTAGCACAGCACGAATATGCTAATACAGCAGAGCAGCACGGCAAAGAATATCTCCATGGGACTCTTTGGCACAAGGGGTGTGCCTCCAGCCATAACCGTTGGAGATTCCCGTCTGGCATCGTCGTCATTGAAGTCCAGTGGATCCAGGGCAGCAGCCAATGCCTTCCATTGAAAGTTCTGCTGCAGTTGCTCCTGTGGATTACGCATTAACGCTGCCAGCTCCGGGGAGATGGCATGCGTCAACCGTATGGTCGGCAGCAGGGCAACATATTGTCCACTCAGCGAGACATTGTACTGTTTCATAATGGTCGACCAGTGAAAGTTGGATAAGAAGTAGTTCAGCTCAAAGTTGGGATAGCGCAGTCGCTGCAGCTCTGCCGCCGTCTCATTGACATCGTGCAAGGGCTGCTCCGTCGTTGGCAGCAGGTAGCTGGGCGTGCTGCCCAACCGCTCGCCTGTTGGCTTAAAACCTTTCAGGAAGCTGCTGACAGCGCCACGTGTCGCTTGCAAGTGCCGCTGCAGCTCGTAGGCGGTGCTCATCGAGCCATTATTTTGCATGCTGAACAGCTGCTCCAGACAACCCGAGTTGTAGACGATCGAGCATATCCACACGATCATCCAGATCATGAAGGCGCGCTGGAAAAAGCGCGTACGTGCCCAGAAATTAACAATCTTGATGCGTTTGGGTATGCGTGCCTCCTGTGCAGCATGGGTGGCATGTCCATTGACCAACTGCGCACGGTCTCCAGCATCCGCGAAACATAACTTCGGATGCGACTGGGACCGTTGGAAGGTGCCCGGCACAAAGGGCGACATGGGCGACGGCGGCGGCGGTGCAGCGCCAAAGAAACGAAACTCCTGGCGAGCCAACGAACCACCGCCAGCCTGTCCATTGCCCAGCGTGCAGCTGAGCATCATCTTCGGCAAGTGCTTGGCCTCCGTGGTATATTCCGCCCGCTTAATATTCATGGCCAGTATGGTGGAGAAGAGCAGCATTTGCAGCATGAAGTCCGAAAGTAATCCGACAATCGCAAATACGCAAAACTCCTGTATGACCGGCACAAAGGTGGCCAGTCCAATGGTCAGGATGGTGATCTCTGTGAGCAGCGTCTTCGATATGTGCCATCCCTCCTTGCTCAAGGCTTGAGCTACGCGGATTTTCACATCGAACGTGCCATCCATGGACACTACGCTCTTGGTTATAACCAGGCTGTTCTCCAGGCCCACTAATATAACCAGATATGGAAATATGTCCTTGGACTGCAGCGATATGGTGAGCCCAAAGAAGAAGCACAGGCCCAACGACATGGCCAGGCTGCCGGACGTGGTCAACACGCTGCACAGAGCCAGCAACACTCGCGATCGAAACACATCCATTTTTCGCACAGAGAAGTAGACGTAGACGAATACTAAGACAAACGCCACGGATAGTGGCAGAAATTCCCAGATTTTGAATTCGCCTGGATAAAAGATGTACGTGATGGTCGGACCCTCCTCATCTGGGGACATAGCTTGGGACACGTTCAATGGTGGATAATAGCGCAATAGTTTCTCCTTCAGCGTGTCCAAATACTCTGGATCGTTCTTATTGAGAATCAGCGTGAGGGCATATTGTATGATGCGAGAGCGGGCTCGCAAAGGATACCGCTTGAAGCCCGTATCTTGCATGGGCAATCCGAATAACATTTCCGCCGCAGAAACTTTCGATTTTTGTAAATTCTAAAATGGAGAAAAAACAAAACACAGTTCAATTAGATCGGCATAGATAATGTTTATTTAATGTTAAATAATTGATCGACTGGGCAGCCCCTTATCTATGCATTGCCTCACAGCTGTACTTTGAAACCGCAAACTATTTCAATAATGAGACTCCAGACATGTGAGTCACATAGAGTGGTAATAGAAATTTATTAAGGGGTATCATCTATCTAACTACATGCACAAATTGATGATTGATGCCTAGCTGATGAAATTTGATCAGATTACAATACATTTATACATCGCATTTGAAACATTTTGTTAAATATCAAAAATATATATAAGAATTTCCCTTATCTGATTCTTTATCAACTAGCTCAATGTTTAACCACTTTTTACTTAGATAAAAGCGCTTAAAAAGTGCATTTACAATATATATATTCATTCCATTAGACTATAAATTTTATACTAGATTATTTTACTGTTATTTTATTGTAGCTATACTTTAGATGATAATTTATTCATTTTATTAGATTTTATTTTTTATTTGTACTTCTATAAAATAATTATATAAACTTTGTTTTCTTACTAATTTCGAAATTTTTGAGTGTATGAACATATAATTTGAAAATCATCGTTAAGTTTCAAATGATATAATTAAATTCTGCATGAATCCAATGAAGTAGCAAGATTTGAGAAGACAAGATTCAGATTTCTTGGTAATTTAACATATAAAACAACAAGAAACCACATGCGTCAGCCTATCACAATTCTATTTTTTTATTTCCACTTAACAAGCGTTAAATGCAAATCATATTTCTGATTTATTAAACACTCATTTGCCACTGAAATATTTAACTTCAATTTGGATCTAGCTACAACACAATCTAAGCCTTGGCGCTATTTGTTTTTATTTTCATTATCACTATTCTTCTTCTTCATTCCTAACGATTTCGGCTAAATGCTTTTTTTCCTTATTGTAATCTATACAATTGTAAATAAATTTTCGTTGACTTCTTATCTCTTGCCATGCCTCTTCAATAAACTTCCTTAGTGCTAAACTTATTCATAGCTCGTTTATCAGTCAGGAAACCTAACGAAAGTGTATTATTATTATTTTATATACTTAAGAAGTTTTCGAATTGTACGGAGCTCAACAGCATGAGCTGGGCGAATAAAACCATAACAATGTAGAATCAAATTTCGCGCCATCGAGCGAATGCCAAAACAGAAGTTGAATGACTCATAAAGCCAAAATCGTTGATAGATAAGTATATACACATATAAACAAATCTACACACTCATGCACACATGCATATCAGCAGGTGTGTCTCGCTGGTGTGTGCGTTTTCATTAGCACAATCAACAAGACAGTGTAGTTGGACTATCAAGAGGAACAAACAAAGAATAGCACAGGCTTGCCCCGTTCCCAATTGAGGCTCGCCAAGCATTATGCATAATATACTCGGACACATAAGCACCTTCACACATCCATAACTCCTATTAACACATACGATATTATTGCAATGCATTTAGCAAACGACCCTAAAACGGGTTTTTAAAAATAATAGCGCGTAAAAGGGAATTTGTTTGATTTCTATTAATATATATTATGTTAATATGTATTAGAATCAATCTTAAGATTACGTTAAATATTTTTGGGCATGTAACACGTATGTTAACAGTTTACATTTGTCAGTATTTAACATGTATGTTAACTTAACACGATTTCAATTGTAGGTAATTTGATCTCTTAAGCTGTAAAGCTGTTAGCTTACATGATGCCCGTCTGACATGTCAACGAATTTATTCTCTATTATTTATTCTGTTAGTATAAATTCTGTAAGTTCTACTACACTTTACTTTAAATTAGACAACTACGTAATAACATAACGAGGCTGTTGAAATATTAAAATTCAGAGAAAATGAAACTAGTAGCATGAAAAGAATATATTATTTGAACCTCTTTAGGCTATAGAATGTGGCTATAACTATCTAACTCGTATTTAACATACATGTTTAGGCAACACCTGGGCTATTATATAGAGAAAGACTCCCACTTGAATTGCCGAATCGTTTATGGCTAATTTGGCAGCTTGTGTGTAGAATCAATGTCACGGCTAATCAACAGCTGGCTACCAATTTCAAATATATGTGGCTAGCCATAATGTTTAACTGATAAGACGAACGGCTTTAGCCACCTAAACAAACGGCCTTTTAGCTAATTAAATGTATTACAGTCAAAGTGCAGTACAGAATTTACGAAATATTCCGAGTGTTTGAGCAAACACCATTAACTAACTGAATGTGAGCATTGTGAAATCCATTAGCCACACACTTAGTCTCGCTCACACACACACACACACACACACTTACATGATATTGAAAGATGGTATTTAGTATATTGGTATCTCTGGTAAAATTCTGGGCATTCTGGGTCCATAGATTCGCTGGGGATAACAATAGGCAGCCATATTCAGGGAAGATCTGATCCAATTGACTCTGGGCACCGCGCTTTACATTGTCCACATGCAGACAGTTTTGCTCCAATGTGCGCTGACTGCAAGGGAATTTGATTCAATTAAAGGCAATGTCATATATATATAGATCCATATACATGTATAAATACACATATCGTGTCTACTTACTTCTCGCTGCTCTGATGATTGCGCACAATTTCCAGCAATTTAAAAACTTCAGAAAGCGGCGCTCGGAACGCATCCATCAGCTGCATTTCATCTGCCCAAGGCAACACGCTCGCTCGCAGCGTTATCTGTTGCACATAGAAGGCCGGACTGCTCTGCGCCCAGGGCAGGCCGCCTCCGCCTCCCCCGCCACTGTTGCCCCCGCTGTTGCTTGCATTGAATGCTGCACTGGCTCCACTTTGGTTTTGGGCGGCTGCATCCGCTTCGGTAAAGAGCGGAGTATAGCGCCCCTCGTAAGGTAACACGATCTTGGTGGGTATAGTGCCGGGCAAAGGTATGTTCATGAGTGGATAGCTAGAGAGAGCGAGAGAGAGGGACAATGAGAATGAGAGACAGAGACCAGATGCTTTTAATAGGCCTATTAAACGAATCTTGTTAGTTCGGCTATTTTCAGAGCGGGCACGCGTTTGCGTTTTTTATACCCTGTAACTTCTATTAAATTAGTTATTAGTTATTAGCTCTGACGATAGTATGCAATAAATAAATTGCKCAYTATGAACAAATATAATAGTTGTTGTAAGTTCAATTATTTAATTATTTATGCAATTGTGTATTGTGAATAAACATTGTGTACTTTTTTTTTTTAATAATTTAAAACTAATCAAACTCCATAGTTATTAAACTACCCATGCAAATTCTTCTATAANTATTTAATATTTCTTATAATCATATAATAATTGAATTCTATATGAAATATATACCTATGGAACACATGTATAATATGCTCCTTATTTTATGGGATTTCAATTTAATATACTATACTGTTCTATTTAGGTTTGTGCTTATTTCATTGCATTATTCCATCGTTAAAATTTGTATTTATGAATCAAATGAAGATCCATTTTCCAGTCTCTTTCAATTTTAATTCTCATTTGTATAGGGTATTTGATTGTCAACCACAGTTATCTTAATTAACCCAAACAGTTGTAGCTTTTTCTACCAGTGATCGTTAAATTTGTCATTTAACACGTGTGTCCCAAACGATTTCCCTAGACGTCAAAGGCCACATACATATACACATGTTGTATGGACACACGTATTTATTTGATCAACAATTCGGTTTAATGCTCAGCATTTCATATATTCAAGGTTAGCGGGCCACGGCGAAACGCGACCGAGCCCAACCGATAAGAGATTAGGCAAAGTAACCAAATAAATACAAAGCACTTGCTGCATTACACTAGCGATAAGGCGGAGGCAGGCGCAGCGTTTACTTGGCAGGTCCAAATTAATGAGGCCTTCACACTCAAAGGTGAAACGAGGAAGCGAGAGAGAGGTAGAAGTAGGTGAGATAGTCAGAGCGAATGTTTGATGGATCCAAATAATACTACATAAGAAACAAGAGCTAATTGTGTTTGATGTCGTGTCAACATTATCTCTGCATGTTGAATCGAAATGTTCGACTGAAATGTTAGGTAGACATGTTAAACTTATGTAAGAATTGAATTTGTTGATATATTGAACTATAAATCAGCTATTTTTCTCTATGCAAATTGCTATTGAATCAATCATCCTTTTAGCTTTAAAGGCAGCTTGATAAGGAATTTTAACTGTAGAACTTTCGCTTTGGCAATTCATACTCGCATTTAATGCGACGGCATTGAACTATACGTAATTTGTATTTTTATAATTTCAAAGAAAAATTGAAAATTTTTGAACAAAATTCGAAATATCCTTCTCTTGAAGTATTTTAATGGATTTAAAAGTGTTCATATTTAGGGTACATCTTTTTCTTAATTTTAACTAGAAACAGAAATATTTATTATACCCTAGTTATTCGGGTGCCTGACACACATGTAAAACTCAAAATAATCAAATAAGAATCAATAAACGATGCAGAGCAAACAGGAAGTGCTCGACAAATAATTATAGTATTATGAGGCTTTACGTTCAACGTGCTGTGCTCCATGAGACCGCCTGGAATTCTATCTATTCGAATTCGTGCATGAAATGGAGCAAGCACCACATGTGTAGGTCGCACACACATCAAAAATGGATGTGTGTGAGAGACACCGAGTGCGTGTGTGTCTGTATTAGAAAGTGTGTGAGTATGTATTATTGAATTATTCAATAATTTTAATTATCTATTGGACACTGTGCCGCAACCTGAGCACTTTTTGGGGCCAGTCTGGGGTCTAGACATTATTTATTTATTTGTTCATCATTTCAAATTGATAAAAATCTAAAGTGCGCGTGGCTCGATGCGAAATCGGACAAATTTATGAACATATAGACGAATGTATTATACATAATTGAAACGTTTTGCTCATTCTAAAAATAAATGTCTTGTTGGAATGTTCTTAATGTGACGACGAAAAGGTGCTACAATTGAAGAATCAAATTGCAGTCTATATAACAATGTATGCATATATGAATTTATACATATACATATATATATTACAATCCATTGATTATGTAGCAAATAAATAACTATTTAATTTGTTTTTGTGCATCTCAGACTTATCATCAACAAATTCAATTTATTTATTATTATTGTATATGAATATGTATATATATGTTTTTGAATAACTCCATTGACGCATGCCGTCCCGAGATTTATGAGTTCAATTATTTTTGCTGATAATGAATATTATAATCTAACTGTAATTCGAACAAATGCAATCAGCATTTGTCATTATTTTAGTAGGAAGTCTAAGGAAATATATTATGTTTGCAATTTCCAGAAACTGTCCCTTATTTATATATATTATAATATTTAATATATCATAATATAATCTTTTTTAAGACAACTCAATTTTCCGTTTTTATATAAAAATCGTTAGCGACATATTTTTATATTTTCTAGAACGCGAAATATAAATATTATTATGCATTATCTCTGAGAAATATTGTATTAATCTTACTAAAGTTTACTTATTAATTAAGTATTTCAAGAAGCACATATCAATTTTTTCTATTGGAAAATACTTTTTAACGCTTTGAAAAGTCTGAATTCATTTCCCTTACAACTATTCAAGGTTTTTAAATTTTAGTTTTTAACAAGTAAGAAAGCTCTAGTCGAGACTGCTCGACTACGAGATCCCCTGAACCCTTGGAGTGCTAGCTATTTCAATAATTTTTCGCGTCTTTCAGCTTACACAAGAAACACACACACATACACAAACACATACACACAGGGCCAAATCAACTCAGCTCGTCGCCCTGATCAAGAATATATATACTTTGTGGGGTCTGCCACGCCTCCTTCTGCCTGTTACATACATTTCAACAAAACCATTATACCCTGATTTCCCATTGAAAATGGGTTCAGGGTATAAAAATATACCAAAGTAGAGCCACATTTGTTTGATTTGAAAATGTGATAAAAAATAAATGATCTTTAGTCATGCAACTTTAGCACTGGGGTTGTTTATCCTGTGGGACACTGGGAATTACACATATGTGTTACATATATGTATATATTCATGTACACATACATGTATGTATTTGGCAAACAACTCTCGCTAATAAGAAACTTGCCAAATTTGTTTGCCCCTTAAACATATCTATGACAACGTAGATTTTCCAGAATTTACTTAGCAATTAACATTACTAAAATACAAACAAGTATATTAGCAAAAAAAATAAAATAAAAATAAAAATAAAAAAAATCGGAAGAAATAAACCTCTTAATTAATCGATACCCTCTAACCGGCTAAAAGTCGTATCTACAAATAAAATTTAGAGCTATGAAACGTGTTTATTAATTTGAAATACACCAAGCAAGATAATCCAGAGAGTATACGTTAAAAATAGTTAATCACTAAAACTTTTTAAATAAATGTTTAAAAACAATATAAATTGTCATAGAAACTCTAGCTGTAAATATTTCAAAATATTATCAACAAGCATCGAAAGTTGTAAATAAGCTCTAAATGAAAATATAACACACTAGAAACCGTTTTAAGTAAAAAGCGCGATGATTTGAACACAAATTTATGTCTACCCGTATGTATACCACATTGTTGGTACCATACCATTTTTAACATCACAGGGTATATGACGGAACTTACCACGACAGCAAAATCGCCATTAGGGCAATGCTGGAGGCGCATGTCGGATAACTGGATAAAAATAAGCCGTGCTTGTAGTAGAAATGCGACACCGACGCCGGCAGACCGGATGARGTGGACGCCGTAGTTGAGGCGGCTGCGTTTGACGTTGGAGAATTGATTTTGAGCTTTGGCGATTTACCGTTGCCATTTGCAGTCAATGGTAGCGACGTAGACGCAGCAGCCGCAGCTGCTGCCTTGGCAGAGCCATCTGTTGCGGCTGCCATGCCGCCTATGCACAGCCTCTCTCACACACAGATATCTAGTGAGAGAGAGCACACGCGACCGGAATTTACAACACACACACAGGCACACGCGAGTAAACGCGGTAGAGTTATTGGAGTGACAGCGAGCGAGYGAGTGTGGTGAACTATAAGCGCTCGTTCTAAACGTAAACTTTGAGTTTTGGCCTTAGTAACTTTTCAATGCCAACAATTACGCAATTTCGCACATGCAACGCATCATTTGCGTAGGCAACAAGAACAGCAGTAGCAGCAGCAGCAACAGCAACGGCAGCGATATTATTTATTAATAGCTTTGATTTAGGTTTTGCCGCTGCCGTCGTTGCTTTGATTTTTACTTGTATAAGAATATCGACACATTTTTGCATTCTGTTGTCTATTGATTTTTCTTTTTCTTGCGCTTCATTCGCACCTTTTAACCTCCGTTTGTGGTTGTTGCCTGTGTTATTTTTGTTGCTGCTGTTGTTGTTAATTAATTGACATTTTCGCGCATCTTTACAGGCCGCGCGCGCACACAAACACACTTGCAAACGCACACGTACACACACACACGCCCTTACACAGATTCACTCTCCCATTTGCATACCCATTCAATTTAAGTACGCATATGATTTATGTTATTCCAGTTGTTATTATTGCTGGTGTTGCTAATGCGTTTTGTTATCAAATTATCACTTATTAAAATATCTTTTCGCCTATTTCTCAAATTCAGCTACACTCAGCACTTTTTTCCTTTACATTCTAGTTGGCTTTTTCTCTCTGCCCTTTTTGGTATATTTGCACGGCTGCGACGTAGAAAGTTTAACAAAGAACTTTCAATGTCTCGCCAATTGTTGATAACTTTAAAAACACATCTATGCTGCACTTTATATATATTTTTTCGTAAATCTATTGCCGTTGTGTAATTTTGTTGTTGTATTAAACACGTTTTCGCTTGCGGCTGGCGGACAAGCTCTGGCGTACTCACGTCACGATAACTTTGAAAGAACAACATAAAACAGCTGAGCTGAGCGAACACATAACCCACTGTGGGCACCCCAAAAAAAATTAACGCTTGCTCAAATGATAATGTTAATATCGATAACTTAACGTAACAGTCGCTGTTGCGGATTGACCAATCTGGCTGCTCATTTCAAATTATAATTTATAATAGTTCCGATTCGATTTGCATAGTGAGCTTGATTATTTATTTAGTTATATTTTGTATATCGCTTACGTTTAAAAATGTACATATTATTGTATGCATGCCTTTTGATTCTACACCAAATATCAAATGTAAAATTGTAATATAATTGAACGAGTTAGAACTTTTCGAACTGTTTCATTTCGTTTGAAGCAAACCTCAATGAGCATAAATCTTATTCCGAGTATTATATACATTTTAACTTATTTTGCTTTTGAAACAGCCCTAGACTAGACTAGCTACAATGGGTCACTCGCTCCCGTAGGAACCAGCCCCAACTCTTGATGTTGCTATCGCTGTTGTTGCTAACTCAACTAATAGTCTATAAATTGACGGGTATAATCGACGTAAACATATCCTGTTGTCCATGTACGCGCTGTACTAGTCAATCTTAGTGGTCGGCATCGTGTACTCAGCCGTTATTGAATCTGCTGACATGTACTCCTGCTGCACCGGCATCTGATGATATAGCACGTGATCCGATCCCGGTCCCGATCCCGATCCCAATCCCGTGCCCGAACCCGATACGGATCCCGTCGGCATATAAGTCTCACAACCATCGACAGCATTATTGTGTATGGCGTTCTCATTGCAGCGGCTCTTCTTCGAGGCAAAGATTAGGGCTGTGCCCTTGCTGAGCAGCGGACAGAGCAGCGTTTGATGACAGCATGCAAACAGTCTGTAGTTCTGGCCCTGAAACGGATCCGACACGGCCGCACACAGCATATGATCCAGGTTGATGCCCGTCAACTGCAAAGGAAAAGGAAAACTTTTATAATTTAAAATCAAACTAAACATAGGCTAGAAACAGAACTCCTCCGCTTCACTAGACTAAGTATATGAATTTTCCGTTCATCCCTGAGTCCAAAAAATATAAATAAAAGTGGTGCTTTTATCATCCATCTTCAATAAACCTATCTTCTATATTTTTCATCTGTTTGTCCATTTGTCTTATCCCCCATTTTTGATCCGAAAAGGTTGATTTAGTTACAATACATTATTCGTAAGAGCTTAAGCTCTCACACACAGTTGATAGAGAATTAAGAACCTTAATGAGATTGCATAAATCGTAAATTTATCACTTACTATGGAAAGCGGCGAGAGCAGCACAAAATGATAGAAGAGCATAAAGGCGGTGCCAATTTTGGACCATTTAAAGTCGCCCAGGTCCTCGATGGTGTAGGCGCCTGAAAGCAAACACGTTTCATTATATTAGATTGGCACTTGACTGACCGACTCTATATCGGCTAGTTACCAGTCCTCAAGATGTATATGGGTATGAGGTAGAGTAGAGCATGCTGTATCCAGTAGGTGGCTTGCTCGAAAGGATAGGTCCGGCCCTCGACCTCGGGAAATAAAAACGCAAGAAAAGGCCCATTCAAATTGCTCATCTGAATGCGAAACAAGGCCGTTGTTACCTTCGTGGGCTTGGCGGCAAGCAAATATATCTAGAAACGATAGAATACGAAATTATTATATAATTATATAATGTTTAAATGTTTGTTAGCGCAGTGTAAGCCATAGCGAACACTAATAAATACATGTTCGTCTTAAACTATACAAATGTCCACTACACTTATGTCCATTATACACCAAATCCGATTCGGTCGGGAGTGAGTATTATGCAGTCGGTAGCACCCGACAGTGAGAAATTCTCATTTAATTGGCATACATATAGATCTCACCTGAAGACACGTTTGCACATGGCATGGATTGAGTGCAAAGATCATCGAGCCGCCGGCCAGCTTGAAGCCCATCTCGATGCCAAAGATGACGGACATTGATATTAGCAGCAGCAGACGCATCGCACTGTGCGGCTTCTGGATCTCGTGTGCGGGCGGTAAGCGTATGGGAGCTAAGCGCTTCCACGATCCATGCATGATGTAGATGAAGACCACGGAGAGCAGTGCCGTTTCGGTCCAGCGTCGTCGATCGGTCATATAGTTAATGCACTCGGGTCCGGTTGTCCTAGGTATTTCGTCCGTAATGCCACCCACAGCCCAGTCCCAATCCATTTTGCTTCTTTTGTCTTAATGCGTCTGCGTTCAGCTGTAGCCTCGACTCTATAAGGAACTGCAATATAGAAATGGGGTAAGAACTTTTAGCAACAACCCCCTAAGTCGGCACTGGCATTGAAAATTAACCGCATTGCGTGTCGCTAACAACCCAAAAGGCATAAAACCAGATAAAGAAAATGGTTTTTTGTTTGCAAAGCGTTTAAATAAATTGCTTGGCGCAAGCCTTCCAAACAAACCCCATTAGAAGTGGGTCTGGACCTATAATAGAAAAAATACAAATCGAGCTCTCTGAGAGCCCAAGAAATACTCTCATAAAAACGTTTTTTAATATATGTTGAAATATGTAAAAAAAAAAAAAAAAACACGGTATATAATAATATTTTATAAATATAGAAAGAAGTACTGTAAATAGTAGATTGATCTAAGTAACATTCTAAACTCTCGATTGCAAAGTGGCCTCTAGAGTTTTTGCTAATACCTACATCTAATCGCCGTTAAAAGGGGTATTCGAACTTCGACTTAAGTTTGGCCTTTGTTTTTCACTTTTACTTCCGTCTTTATTACGGAAACCGTGAAACGATTCGGAGCATGAGTAAAAATACGTTAATGCCAAACAGGTGTACGCTAAACCCATTTACCCAAACCTCACCTCAGCTAACCATCCAATCTAACCTGCAACCCCACTCAGCCCTCGCATTCCTTTTTTGGCCACCTGTCAAGGGAGAGGCGTTGCATACATGGGCGTGGCATGTGCATTGTGTGGGCTGGTTGTTAAGTTGACAGCAATAAAATAAAGCAAGAACAAAAGAAAGCAAAGAGGTCAGCTATTGAGCTGGCTTTAGGGCAAGGTATAACGGCAGGTGACCCGTGCAAAAATGCTCTATATATTACAGAACTAAATTGAAAATGAATTGTTGTCGACGTTGACAGCTGCCGCAGTTGCGTCTAAGCTTGGCCAAGTGCCAAGATCGAAAGCAAGATGTCAGATGGTCAGCGCAATACCCTTCCTATTTCCATTCTCAATAGTAGCAACTGTAGTTGCCTGCCTTGAAGCAACAACCACTGTGTCTATACACATACACATACATGCATCATCAAATGACACAATAAATACACGCACTGTCATTGTAGCACATGCATTATAATGCTTAGCTATGGACGCTGAATATTTCGACGCCTGTGTCCATCTATGCATTGAGTGCACTTTTACAATCACATATTTTAAAGCCTACTTTCCAGCGTCCTTTGCTGACGAATGAAGGCCTACTCACACTCACACATCTAGGCTTGATGAGCCATATACATGCAAATATCCAATGTCAAACACACAGACACAACCGCAGACAGCCGTTATTGCACTTTTCATTGTCAAGAACACGCAGCGAGAGCAAATGCATGTGCTAGTGAATCGGAAAGAAAGAGAGTGTGAGAGAGAGAGAGCGCAACGGCAGAAATAGGAACAAATAAATTGTTTACAAGGTTTCAGAATGGAGAGAGCGAGCAGAGCAGTGACAGCAAAGCTTGGCCGGCCAAGCGCCATTTGTGTCAGCTGATTGCTAAAAGCAAGCGGCAGAGGGCGCCACCCCAGCAACACAACAGCCTTTTGATAATTCGATTTTTCAATGAGTTTAATACTCTAATGAGCTTAATTAGCAAAATACATATAATTTAACTGTACATTTACTTAAAATATTTATTTATTGCTAATAATTTTACACTTCTGAGTTACGCTATTAATACACACAGCCACGTGATTGCTTAGAAAGCTTTACGCGATACTTGAATCCACTTTTTTTTCTACATTGGACACATTTTGTTTATATGAGAGCACATTCTTGATTTATTTATATTTATGCACTCGCTCACTTATGAAATTGCATTGTGAATTGCCTCGAAATGAAAAGCGCAACAATAAAATAAATAGAATTTATGCTTGCAGCGTATGATAATACACGTCGCAACGTCAACTGTAAATGCGACTGCGATTCTTACTGACTGATTGTTGGCGCTCTGTGTGTTCTTATTCCCCAACTGGGGGTTGTTTCCGGTCTTGATTTGTTTTCGATTCCTTTCACGTAACAATAAATACTTAGCATTGAAGTACTATAAGCTAGAATCGAAGAAAACTTAGCTACTTTAATTGTGATATATATTTGTATATCTCTTCGGCTCTAGCAATATTCTGAAAATGTACTGAAATATAAACCAAATTTCAACATTTCGCCTCATAAAGTAAACGTTGCTCCTTTCAAGTCCTTCAACATAAGCATATTCACCACAGCATTAGCAGCGCCAAATCTACCACCCTGTAAACCCGCTCAGAGAGCGTACGGTTTGCATGCTCTCTTTATAGCATTCGTATGTTAAACGAGGTCTCTGGCAATTTGGCGCCAAAACAACGGATGAGAAGCGAGCAAAACAAATACATATGCACATATATGCATATGCAAGCACAAATTTACAGGCACATAACACATACATATATGCATATATGTATGTATAGGAAGATAGCTGCATATTTATACATATACATATATGTATGACAAATTGGATTATAAGCAGACAAGAAATGCGAACGCGAATGAACACAAAATGTTGATCTGTTGAGAGCAGCTTTGCCGATAATTATGAGATACATATGTATGTGCATATGTGTGTATGTGCRCACTCATGTAGGCATATACATACATATATGCATGTACATATGGGTCAATGCATAGTGGGTGATATAATTAAATGTATTAGTAGGTTATTCAATGTAAACGCAGTTCTTAAGTATTAAAAG